ACACACACACACACATAAATATATGTAAAATCCTTTTTTGGCATGTAGTTAAGCTATTACACTAATACTTTATTTGCAGTGTTATCATCTTACATCAGTAACATTGTACTTAATTTGAAAATTTAGATGGGAATGTGATCAATGCAATTATCCAATTAAAAGCCATGAAGAGTGTAGTTTTTAGCCCATTCACATGCGGTTGTCCTTCACAGCCAGTAAAATACAACTAGTCTTTTCTATGAATCTCAGGCCTGGTTTTTACCAGAGTTTAAGCTGATGGCTACACTATACTGAAAACCAGAATTCAGTGATTGGTGATATCTTTCCCATACACTGTGGACTTTATCCTTCTTTGCTGTGGTTTTTGAGAAGGTTTCATATTTTTAATGGTAATAATACAGTTATAGACCTCTACCCTCTACATTTTCTCCTTTATTGCATTTCACAGACAGAGTGGTATGATCTTTCATGCATGCCAGCTAAATAGCCTCAGTCACAGAAAATGAATTCTAATCTCGTATCCTTTCTTTTATAATTACTATTTATTCTTTCTTTGTTAATTATAGATATATTGTAACACCAGCATCAAATAAATATGAAAAATTGTTGACTGAAGTTTCTAATGTATGCCTTGTCAGATTTCCCTTCCAAGTTATTTTCTAGTCTTTGTTTATCATATGCAAATTTAGTTCTAATCAAAGCATGGGTATAGCCTTATATTCTAAAATACAGAATTTCTAAACATGAACATAGTATAAACAGTTTTATGTGTGCATATGTATATTTACTTAACATTATATTACCAGTTTTTACTTTATGGCTTTTTGCAACAATGTATTTATTTTTAGACCTTTAGGTTTCCCCAATTTTTTTTACTATAATAAAAAGCAAGTCTTCTTTTTTTTTTTTAAATGCTCTTTTTTTTTTTATGATGAATTTCCACAATGGAATCAGCATCTTTTCTTTCTATATTCTTTTCTTTCTATACAGTGCTGGGATTTCATGGGCCTCAGTCTTGACATAAAAGCGCCCTGGTGGCACAGTGTTTAAAGTGCTTGGCTACTAACCAGAAGGTCAGTGGTTCAAACCCACCAGCCGCTCCACAGGAGAAAGATGAGGCAATCTGTTTCTGTTAAGATTTCTAGCCTTGGAAACCCTATGTGACAGTTCTCTGTCCTGTAGCGTTGATATGAGTCAAAATTGACTCAGCGGCAGTTGGTTTGGTTTTTTGGTTTTAATCTTGGCATGGCAAGTGCATAGAAAGTATAGGACTGATACAATTGTCTTGGGTTGAAATGTTAGCAAGGCTAGTAACATGCTGCCAAATCAGAAATGAGAGGAAAGCATTCAACATGCTTCCTTTGTTTTCCATTACAATTTTATTACACGTTCTGTAAGAATGATTCAAACAGAAAAATTTGGTGTCACCTATAGAATTCTATAGGGTGACTATGAGTTGGAAGCAATTTGACAAGCAATGGTTGTTTTTTTTTTTTTTTTTTGGTATATAACCTATCTTCAAGTGATGTTCATTCATTCATTTTGTCAGTCTATCAGTTGTTCCAGGCACTGTGTTGGTATCTGGAAATTGCTCCTGGGAAAAACACAGCTTTTGCTCTCAAGGAACTCTAACCATCTAGCATCTTTTGTTCTGTAGATTGCTGACCCCGTTTAAGAGGGCTTTTTGATAATTTTAAGGTAAACTTATAAAACTTTGCAAAATAAGATAAAATCACAATTGATATCAAAATCACAATTTGCTTTTGATATCTGGATTCTATCTTCAGGCCAAATTGCAACTTGAGCTATTGCAGTGATATTCTGTTATGGCTGAAAGTAGTAGCAGAAGACTCTTGAAGGCATATGTAGTTTGAATAACTATTTGCTGTTATATAAAATAATTAGCAAAGCTATTAATTTTGCACCTCTGGCTGTGAAAACAACTCTTGTGTTTCATATCACCGAGGCTAAAAAAAGGAGTCCTGGTGGTGCAGTGGTTGAAGCGCTCAGCTGTGAACTGAAAGGTTGACAGTTTGAACCCACCAGCCACTATGTGGGAGAAAGATGTGCAGTGTGCTTCTGTAAAGATTATAGTCTTGGAAACCATATGGGGCAGTACTGTTGTGTCCTGTAGGGTCACTGTGAATTGGAACTGACTCAACAGCAATGGGTTTAGGCTAAAAAACCTTTACCCAGTGAGCAGACTAAATCCACGAGTGAAATAAAAAGTTCTTTCAGATCAAGATAGCTGCTTTAAAGTTATCATTGCTTTCAAGGTTTATAAAGTGAAGAACTTGTTTTGTATTTAGTATGAAGAGATGTGTGAGGTTTTTATGTTTATGTAAAGGAACAAGGGAATCTAACAGATGAGGGAATACTACATGTATCATGCAGCAAACTAAAACTCTGAATAACCTTAAGACTTTACTGTAAGTGTATCATATTTGCTTTAGAACAGATTTACCTTAATGGAAATTGATTTTGGATATGAAATATCAAAAGAATCTTAAAAATGTCTAATACAATGAAATTCTGTAATCTGGACCCTGAGGACATTGTAATAATGTGATACTAGTTAATAGAATTTGTTTTTACCATGTAATGAAGTCTTTGAAATGGCATCAAGTAATCTAACCTTTTTATAAAATACTATCAATTTGAAAAAAATAGAGCGGGTAAGTAAAGTATTCATAATTTGGGAGGCTGATACACAAATTGGGCTGAAGTATTGCTCTAATTGTCACCATACCTCCCTAGAATAAACTGCCTTCTGATGACTGGGATGAATTGAGTGAAATCTTAACGGACAGATACGGGGCAGACAGTTTCTTTAGAATATTCAGATATCAAGTGAATGTAATTCTTTCCCACTTACAATTTGGATTTGTATATCTGTTTTCCTTTTAGCCCTGTCTCCCTTCTCTTGCATTCAGCTTCATTATCAGATGGAAACAATGTTACACTTCTGGAAAAGGTACATTTTAAATGAATTTTCAGTTTATTCTGACCATTTTAAATTATTACAGTTTAATAAAACTTCATTTTTATTTTCACATTTCCTAGTTTTTGCACATTATGTAGCATTTCTGTTTACACAGGTTCTATTGTTTTTAAGTGGGAATATTGGAATTATTTAATTGTGCTAGTGAATATATAATTTCACAATAAAAGTAACTGTCTTTAGTCTGTTCATGATAACCAAGAAACCTCTATTGAAGAAGCATCAAGATCAGTCATAATTATTAATATCTTTTACATTATATATCTGTCTTCTTCAGGACATGAAGTTGAGAACTCCCAGAGAGAAAAATGAAACAATTTCTGAGAAAACAATAGTATTGGAAGTGGAAGACTCCCTGCCATCAGATATTGCAAAGAACACAGACAGTAGTAGTACAATTGGGGGATCTCTGTCAGCTAAAAAATGTGATCCATTCCAAGAAGAGCAAGATCATCTGGTAGAAGAGGTTAGGAAAAAGACTGTAATAAGAGTACTTACACATCTATTATTTTCTCAGTGGTGTTGGGATCATAAATGAGGTACAGGTAATTACTGATTAACTGGGATAATTTGGGAGAAAGGAGGTCACAGATAATCAAAATCATAGTTAAAGCAAAATTGTTTCCCCCAAAAGTAGACACAGATTCTATATAGCCTTACTTGGTTAAGTAGTTCATGTAACATTAGTTATATCATGGTTTAGAACCTACTTCCTAGTCTATAAATACCACTTCAAAGTATAAAAATAATGCATATATGGTATCTTTAGAATTATACCACCATATGCATTGTTGGATAAATAAATGTATCCAGTGGTTATACCCTATTAAAATACTCTGTCAATGTTAACTCTTATAAAAGCTGAGCTTCCTCTTCTTTTGATTAGAACAAAAACTATGCAATTATCATTTTTTCAGTGAGTATAAGTTTTACCTTTTTTGTTGCTGAATATTTCAAAAGTAATTTATATTCATTGTTATTTATGAACTTGATTTTTCTGTCCCTTACCACTATTCTACTTTTCACAGGTAAGTAATCATACACTACTACTGTTCCTCAAGATAGTAGTTCCTAGGTGGTGGAAACAGTTAAGCGCTTAACTACTAACCTAAAGGTTGGCAGTTCAAATCCATCCAGAGGTGCCTTGAAAGAAGGTCTTGGCAATCTGCCTTTAAAACCTTATGGAGCGCACTTCTACTGTGACACATGTGGGTTCGCCATGATCTGGGATTGACTCGATGGCAACAAGATTTTTTGGTCACTCCAAAACTCAGTTTATACAAATTAAAAACTCAAATCTACCTTTACTGTTATTTTTATTATGTGTTTCCTGCCAAAGCTCTTAGCATTATTTGAATTTGGTTAAGCAGCCAGAAAATACATGAGTTACTTTATATTCCTGAAAGACTGAAAGAAAAGTTTGGTTTTGTGCATGTTAATTAGGTATCAGTCCTTCCTTTATCTCAGTCCTGATCAGCTTAAATGAGCATTGCCCAAATAGAAGATCTGTATGTCAGTCATTTTTCTTTTTTGTAACAGAACAGGTGGAGATTGGACCAGTTTTATGGTCTTTAAAACATTGAAAGAAAGTCTCAAGGTCTATTGTTTCTTTTTATTAGTTGACTGAATCTACACTAAAGTAAATATGGCTTTTTTTTTCCTTCTCAAAATGTGAAAAGAAAGGCATATTTTCTAGTAAAGAATTAAGGAAAACAGTGGAATGGGAGGGTGTAGAAGAGGGGAGTCTTGAATCTCATAAAGCTCTGAAAGTAAAAAAAACAAACTCAAACTCACTGCCATCAAGTTGATCCCACTTATAGTGACCCCTCCTTGAGTTTCTGAGGCGATATCTCTAAAGTGAAATGAATTTTCTTTAATGGTGTTTTTGGTAAGGGATATTTAGTGTTTGAATTAAAAGTCACCTCTGTTTTCCTGGGGGTGGTTAGAATGGGAGGTGGGGGGCTAATCTGATTACGGTTTATGATGCTTATTTTTTAGGAATCTCAGTGGGTAGATATTTTGTTTTTTGTTTCCAATTTTATGGATAATTGGTTAACATGTTGTGTGCCATCAAGCTGATTTCAACTCATAGTGACCCTATAGGGTAGAACTGCCCCATTGGATTTCCTAGACTATAAATCTTAATGCAAGCAGATTGCCAGGTCTTTTCGTCTTCTGAGCTGCTGGTGGGTTCAAATCGCTGATCTTTTGATTAGCAGCTGTGTGCTTTAACCATTGTACCACCAAATCTTCCTCAGTTAAAATCATCTCTGTTTAGAATGTACCCTATGCCTTTGTTCCTTATTATCAGAGTATTTTTTGGCAAAGAAATACGTTGTCAGAATGCAGTTTCTTTGTTAATAGAGGTATTATTGTACAAATGGATTACATTTAAGAATATGCTTTTTTTAAAAAAACTAGTCATTTTGAAACTCTCACCAAAAACACACTAAAAAATTATTTTAAAATTACCCCAAAACTAGGTCTTTGTGGATAGCAGCTTAAGTTATTGTGCAGTCAGAACTCCCTTTACATCTTCCCAAGTACAATGATTCTTATCTGTTCTCTTTTTTATAATGGGTTACCTAATTTAGATAAGGAGGAAACAGTTTTGTGTTCCATTTCTACCTTGATGGTCCCTAGATGATCCTGGAGTTAACATGATTGAGTTGAGTTTTTGCATCATTGCTGTGGAAGGAACTGGTGACTGTGAAGTGCTCAATTTTCTTTTATTTTGTTTCATTCTACCTGTGGGTTTGGTAAGGTGCCCTGGTGGTGCAGTGGTTAAGTGCTTGACTGCTAACTGAAAGGTCAGTGGTTTGATTCTACCAACAGCTCCGTGGAGGAAAAGACTTGATAATCTGTTCCCATAAAGATTACAGCCTAGGAAACAATATGGGACGGTTCTAATCCATCATATGGGGTCACTATGAGTCAGAATTGACTTGAAAGCATGCAACAACAACATGAGCTTAGTAATTTTTGCTTTATTTTTTCTCTTCTGTTTTAGGTTGCTAGGACAGTTTTATCTGATTCACCAAAGCTCTCTGAAGGAAAAGAAGTAAAATTAGACGAATTAATTAATTCTCTGGTTTCTAACCCATTCTTAGCAAGGAACCAAATTCCTCGAACTCCAGAAAACTTGAGTAAGTTAATAATGCTCTCTCTCCTTTATAGGAAGCTCTGGTGGCATAGTGGGTAAGACATTTGGCTGCTAACGAAAAGGTTATTGGTTCAAACCCACCAGCTGTTCTGTGGGAGGAAGATCAGGCTATCTACCTCTATAAAGATTTACAGCTTTGGAAACCCAGTGAGGGGTCACTATGAGTTGGAATTGACTTGATGGCAGCGAGGTTTTTTTCTTTCTCTTTCTTTCCTTTATTTCCTTCCTTAGATGCTGCCAATATTAGAACTAAGGTCTGACAGATTTTCTGGAAACTCATTTTATAACCCTTCTCTATATCTTTTAGTACAGTTGCCAGTGGCTCCTTATTTATTCTGATGTAAAGGACTTTGATTGCTATTTAAGTGTGGGCACTCTCACTTGTAAGGCGATCCTGCAGCATGGACCCTAAAAGCAGTATTATTTTGTTGCTCCAGTATATTCGGTATACTGAGGTGTAATAAGGCTGATACTATGGAATATAGATAATGGAGAATTTTGTTTTTGTTGGATTTTTTTTCTGGAAAAGATTATTTGATCACTTTTTTTTTTTTTTTTTAACAAAAAAAAAAAAAAGTTTGCTAAATGAATAATCTCAAAAATATGGACAACTCTACCCAGAAAAGGAAGATGTCTAATAAAGATTTCAACTTTTTTTTAATGCATTGTATTGAAATATAATTTATGTCAGTGAAATACACAAATTGGGCTGAAGTATTGAGATACACAAAACTAAAGTGACATGGGTCAATGCATTTTTTTTTTTTTTTTT